TGGTCAGAACGGGACTTGAACCCGCGACCTCCGGATTTCAAGTCTGGCGCCCTAACCACTTGGCCACGCTGCCTCATCTCTCAACCCTTACCATTCATCTCGTAAGCTTTACCTCTCATCTCTATCTCAGCCCATATCACCCATCTTTCACCCCTCGCAACTCATCTCTCAACCGTTATAACTCATCTCTCACCCCTTACAACTCATCTCTCCACCCTTTCAACTCTTCTCTCAACCCTTACTACTCATCTCTCAACCCTTACCATTCATCTCTCAACCCTTACAACTCATCTTTTAACGCTCACAACTCTTCTCTTAACCCTTAAAACTTATCTGTCAACCCTTACAACTCAGTCATCTCTTAACCCTTACAACTCATCTCTCAACCCTTACTGCTCATCTCTCCCCACGTAAAACTTATCTCTCAACCTTTACCACCCATTTCGTACCCCTTACAGCTCATCTCTCAACCCTTGCAACTTATCTCTCACCCTCTACCACTCATCTCTTAACCCTTACAACTCACCTCTTAACTCCTAAAATTCATCTGTTAACCCTTACCACTCATCTCTTAACCCTTACAAGTTATCTCTCACCTCTTACAACTCATCTCTCAATATTTACAACTCAGGCTCAACCCTTACAACTTATGTCTCAACCCTCAGTACCCCCCATTTCTCACCCCTTGCAACTCATCTCTCAACCCTTAATTTTCTTATTGAGCAGGTGTCTTCAACAAAATCTCTCGGTGGATACATTGATGAAAGCTTAAGCTGGAATACCCACATTTATGCTTAATTAAGCTCATTAGAAATTTCGTGCCATTCTATACTCTTTTGAACATCTTCAATGGTTTGGTAAAGCCCTAGTTTGACTACGGTACCTTAGTATGAGTCACCCCTCATCACTCATCTTTCAACTCTTACACTTGATCTCTTAACCCTTACAACTCATCTCTCAACCCTTACAACCCATCTCTCGACCCTTACAACCAATCTCTCAACCCTTACAGTTCATCTCTCAACCTTTACATCTCATCTCTCACCCCTTACCGCTCATTTCTCAACCCTTACAACTCATCTCTCAACCCTTACAACTTATCTCTCACCCCTTACCACTCATCTCTTTCTCTCTCTCTTCCTTCATCCTCTCTTAATTGAAAGTGTGCGGTATCATCGTCTGCTTGCCGAATTCGAATTCGCATCTAGCCAATCAGAAGACCTGTCTACCCCTCTGGTTTCCTGCACCATGTATCGTTGAGTTATGGCCGAATTTGAGTGTGGTAGATACCTAGCTGTGCCCTTTTGATACGCTTGGACGTAATCAACTCCGATTTGAGGCGAACCAGGAACGTTGTTTATGATTACATACCAACCTCGTTCCCAGGGTCTCTCATCTTACCGCCCCCTGGAGCGAGCGAA